GTCGAATCACGGAATACGCCGAGGAAATTATCGGAGACTACCAATGCGGATTTAGACGGAATCGTTCAACTATTGATCAAATATTTTCTTTACGGCAAATATTAGAGAAAAAATTGGAGTATAACGGTATTGTTCACCAGCTGTATATAGATTTTAAAAAGGCTTACGATTCTATTGACCGCCAGAAACTGTATAATATTCTAATCGAGCAGGGGATTCCAAAAAAACTAGTAAATCTAGTCAGGATGTGCTTGACGGAGACACTCAATAAAGTTAGAATCGGTAATAATTTGTCCGAAAAATTTGAGGTTCGTTCGGGGTTAAAACAGGGGGATTCTCTTTCGCCTGTCCTGTTCAATTTGTTATTAGAACATGCCATTAGGGAGGTAATGCGAACCGAGAAAGGGTTGGATCTGGGCGGGACAACATCCGTGCTGGGCTATGCTGATGATCTGGTACTGTTAAGCGAAGACGTTGAAACTATAAAACTAAATACGACAACGTTGATGAAAGCCGGTAAAGAACTAGGACTCGAAATAAACGTGGATAAAACAAAATATATGGTTAGCTGCAAGAATGGCGATACTACTGGTGATATCGATATAGATGGTAATATGTTTGAACAGGTAGATAAATTTAGGTATCTAGGTTCTACGATAACTAGAAAAAACGAAATTGAAGAAGAGATTAAGGTTAGACTGAAGGCGGGGAATGCTTGTTATTTTTCTATGACAAAACTACTCAGTTCGCGCCTCTTGTCCCGAAACTTAAAAATTAGAATCTATAAAACAATTATCTTGCCTACAGTTCTTTATGGATGCGAAACTTGGCCGCTTACATTAAGGGATGAGCAGCGTCTTAAGGTTTTTGAAAATAAAGTATTGCGTAGAATATTCGGACCGAAGAAGGATGAGTTAACCGGAGAGTTCAGACGGTTACACAACGCCGAATTGCGTGAGCTGTATCCGGGTAATAAAATTGAGGTAATTTCATCGCGGCGAATCAAATGGGCTTGTAAAGTTGTTGGGCTTAGTAACGAGAGAATTCCTAAAAGGTTAATATTTGCTGTGCCGAATGGTAAGCGTCCGAGGGGTAGACCGAAGCGAAGGTGGGAAGATTGCATTAAAGCCGATCTGAAGGGGACTGGGTTTGGACGGCGAACGGTGGAGGGAGGTGTGTAACAAGCGATTGGTGGTGTCGGCATCGAACCTTCGGGTTCGCTAAGCCTTATTATTATTATTTATTATTATTATTGTGACCATATTACGATATTTTGACGATAATCCATTTGACAGAGTGTACGAAGAGCTGGAGCAGAATTAAGTATTACACCGACGACAGAAAGGAGAACTCTCTGAAGTCTCATTGCAGATAGACTTCACCCATATCATTATCAACGGGTAGAAAAATTATTACAGAAACATTATCGGAAAATAAATTTTTCAGATTGGTACTTAAATCAAGTTGAGCATAATCCACAATTTTCAGAAAAAATTCTCTTGATGTATGAAGATACTTTTACAAGAAGAGTTATCTTCAATTAGAAAAATAATCGTATGGTTGCAGGAAAATCCCTATGCAATAAGAGAGAATTATTTTCAGTGCAATGTGTGGTTGCGGATATTAGATATTAGACAATATTTTAGTAGGTCCGCATTTCTTGCCGCCTCGACTCAATGTGGGCAAATTTCTGGAATTTCTTAATAATGATTACTATGACTTAGTTGAACATATTCCACTACAACTGAGAAGAGACCTGTGGCTTTAATTAGATGGTTGTCCTGCAGATTACGGGAGAGGTCCACGACAATGTGCTAAATGTTAATTATCCCAATCAGTGTATTGGCCGTGCAGGACCAGTGGCTTGGCCTGCACGCTCTCCAAACCTGACACCTTTGGATTTTTTTGTTTAGGTGACATTTAAAAAAAAAGTCTATGCAAGTCCGGTCATTATTCGAAGAAGGATAATTGAATCCTGTGAAACAATAACACATATCTAATACCATTTTGCCACTGCTGCGGTTGAAGAGAGATGCTTAGCCTGTTTTAATATGCTCAAGGAAATTACTTTGAACAACATTAAATATGAATTTAATGTTTACGTTTAATTAATAAAGTAGTTGGAACAAATAAATAAGTTTTATTTACTCAGTATAACGTAATGAAAATCTTTCATTTCATCGTTATGAAAATCTTTAAGTGTGAATATCTTCTAAACAAAGTGTTTGCAGACATACCCTCATAGGAATTTTTTTTCTTGTTTTGAGGTCCTTAATTCATATTTTCAGTTTGGCACTTAACCCAGGCGGTCATTAAAATTGTCGAATCCGAGTTATTAGCAGTAATACACGTTTTGAGGTCCTCTGAGTCCAAATAACCAGGTCTCGCAAAATGGTGGTGTGCGTGAGTGAACAACCTAGCTTAATAAGAAACTGATATTACATATTTAAAGTAGGTATATCCCTGAGATGTCATAGCAACATTTTCATTAAAATCAACTAACTAAAATTTTGTTTAATGAAAAAAAAAGCAAAAAAATATGGAAATAAGTAGTTCGTATGTATTATGTAAGGAAGGAATTAATATTTTTTCCTTGGTCGATTACAATATTCCATTAAACATACTAGACCAAAATATTTGTACAAATTGCTTTGCTAGGACCTATTTTTAAACACTGACTGTATAGATAATAAAAGTAATAAAGGGAAAATAATTCCCCGATCATGGGATTTTATAAATTATATATAAAAAAAAAAAAATGTAAGAACACAAGATGTCTTTAAGAAATAATAAAATTAATATATCAGGCAGGAAAAAAAGTGTAGTAGATTATTCTACTCCTAAATGCAATACCTTTAAAAAGGAAGACATTGTTAAGTATACCAAAACTAATGGACTATATCTTTCTTAATAATTGTCCAATTTTTACGATTTTATTTTGTTTGTAGGTAATTTAGTAACTTTCTAATTAGTATGGGTACAATCCAGAAAAAAAATGCATACTTTTTCAGTTGTTCGGAAATAAAGTTTCTTTTCCTCCATAACTTTTCCGCTTGTGAAGAAGAATATCTTCAAATTGAGTGGTCAATCATTGGATTTGATGAAGAATTGACGAAGTTATGGCGTATCGAAAAAAAAAACAACACTTTTTAGAAATAATATATACGATGATAAAAGAGCTGTGCTGAGATAGTGGTCATGATATATTTTTCGATCATAATGAAAATTCGTATTCCAGGGTCTTCCAAGTTGCGAAATGCAAATCTCAACCCTCTACCTCCTTAAAAAAAGATTTAAACACACTTTACTCCTTCCGTAAATGCAAATTGTTTAAATTTTACATACTTGTAATCGATTTTTACAATTATTTTTTTGTTTTGTGGGTAATTTAGTAATCTTCCTAATTATCATGGGTACAATTCAAAAAGATATGATACATTTTGAGTTATTCGCAAATAAAGTTTCTTTTCCTCCATAACTTATTTCCCAGATATTTTGGGGGGATGGGACTATTTTTTGCATGTGAATCAGAAGAATATCTTCAAATTGAGTGGTCAATCATTGGATTTGATGAAGAATTGACGAAGTTATGGCGTACCGACAAAAAAAAAAACACCTTTTAGAAATAATATACAGGATAGACGAGCTGTGTGCTGAGATAGTGGTCATGGTATTTCTCTTTTATGGTATATTTTTCGATCACAATGAAAATTCGTATTCGAGGGTCTTTCGAGCTGCGAAATGAAATCTCAACTCTCTTCTAATTTTTACAATTTTATTTTGTTTGTAGGTAATTTAGTAATCTTTCTAATTGTTATGGGTACAATCCAGAAAAAAAATGCATACCTTTTAAGTTATTCGCGAATAAAGTTTCTTTTCCTCCATAACTTTTTCCCGGAAATTTTGGGAGGATGGGACTATTTTTCGCATGTGAAGGAGAAGAATATCTTCAAAATGAGTGGTCAATCATTGCATTTGATGAAGAATTGACGAAGTTATGGCGTACCGACAAAAAAAAAAACAACCTTTTAGAAATATTATATATAGGATAGAAGAGCTGTGTGCTGAGATAGTGGTCATGGTATTTTTCTTTGATGGTATATTTTTCGATCGTAATGAAAATTCGTATTCTAGGGTCTTTCGAGCTGCGAAATGCAAATCTCAACACTCTTCCTCCTTAAAAAAATGTTTCAACACACTTTATTCCTTCGTAAATGCAAATTGTTTAAATTTTATATGCTTGTAATCGAGTTTTACAATTCTTGTAATTGTTTTGTGGGTAATTTAGTAATCTTTCTAATTATCACAGGTACAATCCAGAAGAAAATGCATATCTTTTGAGTTATTCGCAAATAAAGTTTCTTTTTCCCATAACTTTTTTCCGGAAATTTTGGGGGGATGGGACTATTTTTCGCATGTGAAGGAGAAGAATATCTTCAAAATGAGTGGTCAATCATTGGATTTGATTAAGAATTGACGAAGTTATGGCGTAACGACAAAAAAAAAAACAACCTTTTAGAAATAAGATATAGGATAGAAGAGCTGTGTGCTGAGATAGTGGTCATCGTAGTTATAGCGTACTGACAAAAAAAAAAAAAAAAAAACACCTTTTAGAAATAATATATAGGATATTGTACCGTCTGTAATCCTTACTTTCTTCACTTCTCTACTTATGAAAATACCCATTTATACTAAAAGTAGGGTGGTAAATGAAATTTGTGTGTTGAGAGCAAAGCACAAGACTCATTTTACAACTACCATAACCACCAGTTCCACTTAAGCTTAGGGCACATTAGCGTTAGAAGAGTTAGTTACAATCGATTATGGATGTAAAAGAAAACAATTAATATATTCGATATGGACCAGTAAGAATTAGTTAAATCGATTATGGATATAAAAGAAAACAATTAATATATTCGATATGGACCAGTAAGGGCCAGAGGACGAGGCGGCTGGAGGGGGTCGAGTGTGGGCGACGAGAACACAGTCAGTTAAGTGCCATGTCCCGAGGACTGCTGCTCCTCCTGGGCCTCTGGGGCCTGGGGTCGGTCCGCCCCACCTCCCCCCCGGTCAGCTGCCTCCTCCCCATCCTCAAGGCCGCCCCTTTCATCTTCACCGGCAAAGTGGATGATCTTCCGGCTCCGGGTGTCTTGTCCGTCCGTGTCAAGAGGGCGGTCCGAGGAACTTCCGTTGGCCGCCTCGTGCTCAAGATGCCGGAAGACGACAGTTGTTCCGAAGGGTTCTACAGACCATCAGTTGGCGATGTGAAGGTCTTCGCCGCCTCCAAGACAGGACATCTTCTGATATCACCTCTTCCGATGAAGCTGGCTACACTGGACCTAGTGCAGGCTGTCTTATCAGGTAGGCACATGTCATTTCACTTCTCTCAATTGAGGGTACTTTCCCTTATCATTTCCTTCGTCGTAAGATTAATTATAAAATGTTGGTATCTTCAAATAATATTTTTAGAATTATTTTTTTCATTATTACTTTATCACAACCTATGATCTTGAAGATTCTCTTCTACAATAACAAAAAATAAAATATTGCTTGAGCACGTCTCAAAAACATTTATTTTAGATTATATGGCTGACAATTTGAAAGGTTTTTAAAATCCCCACCAAATGAGAAAAAAAAAATGAAATCGAACCATTACAAGAAAAGATACACTCTATCGAAATTTTTACACGTTTCAGTTTCTTATTATTATTAAAAAAAAAAAAAAATGAATTACGCCCTCTCTATGTGTTTCATTTGCTCATTCCGTTTTATGTTACTATTTTTCGCTGACCAGTATACACTACGCATTTATTCGCACGGACAGATGTTAAGACCAAAATTATCCTAATATATACAAACCATCAATGCCGAATATATTTTACAGGACTAATTCATATATTGAGATTTTTCAGAAATTGAAAAATAACAATAATAAAAATGTTTAACAATTTTTATCAAAATGAATATGGGGCTTCAATACCAGGTAGTAAATCATTGCATGTGATTTCTTCTTTCAGGTATTCATCTTTGAATGTAAAGCAAAGTTTAAAGATTAAGAAGTATTTCAGTTACTATGAGCTATGGCATCAGATATACCAATTATTTTTCTCTAGATGGTAGGAACAAGTCTATAGTTTAAAAAAAAAATTGAATAAATAAACATATTTAAATTTTTTCATTATTATTAAATCACCCAATTGCGCAAATAAGTTTAAAATAATAGTTACATAATGCGTGAATTATAAATATACTATTCGAAAAAAAGAAATTCTCTTTTTGCTTTGTTAAACCATAATTATATAAAACAGGTGGTTATTATAGATTTAATCCAGGCTAATGAAAAACAATTTTTTCGATAGAAAAAAGTCAAGCTTTTTTCTATCCCAGAACTTAATTTAGGTAATGAGACATCTTTCTTTACTCTGAGCCTTAACTTATTTTGAACTAAATTTTTCAAAGCCATGACTTGTCAAAAAATTGAATTTAACACCACGTTTCTTCATTTGAGGTATATCTGGTCTATTCATCATAATCTCCCAATAAAATGTTAAAATCATACAATAAAATTCGAAATTAGGATGTTTAAATTATAAAGAAAATAGAAAAAAGAAGATAATATTGAGATGTCAAAAAAACAAGGAGGCTTTCCATTTTATGTTTGTGTAATGTATGCCTGTTGTTCGAAAATAAACCGAAATTTAATAAACTATTAACAAATTAGTTTTATAATTTTGCCATTGATATAATATAAAAACAACAAAATATGATATAAGGTAAAACTAAAAGAAATGAAAAATCAAAATGTTTGAAGAGTGCATTGTGGCAATGATTCTTTTTAAATATTAATATAAAAATCCCGTCATTGACTTCTGTTATATCAAAAACTCTCAAGCAAACGTTTTTGTATTTAGTTGCAGTAATAAATAATAACGATAAAAATTTCTATTATCAATTCAATGAAACAGTACGTTCTCCCCACCGTTAAAGTCTCTCATGCGCCTTCCTCAGGAGACAGGTTCGTGCGAGCAAAATTAACAGTTTTTAATAAATAACTTCTTCCAAATAAAATAAACATAACACTAATAAAAAAGAAAGAAGCACTTTTCCTATTTAATATGCACTTTGAAACATATGGAAGTCTCAAAAATCTATGATAAAAAAAAAATTATCAAACCCTCAAGATAAAAAAAAAGAAATTATTCAAGATTTATTTTAATTATGGTCTTTTAGAAGAACTATTCACGATTACAAATACCATCAGCTTGAGGAAAAAGAGTTCTACCTCTTTTAATAGAGCATAATAATTTCCGATGTATTGTTATTTTCCGTTAAATGTTGATAAATTAATGTATTTAAATTGGTAAATAAACACAGAGGTTAAAATCAACACGATTGCGGGTAGTGGTGACACCTTTCCAAAGTGAGTCACAGATCTTCCGCCCACGGTACCTGTTACGCACTTCTAAAGGAACAGACCGGTTTTTTTTTTCTCCAGTAGTTAAGTGGGTGAAGCTTTATTGCTTTGTTACATTGATTAAGAGAGTAATAAATCATTTAGTAGATGATAAATTATATTATGTACTATACCTTTATTACAAATTATCAACAGTTTAAAAATAATAAATATATAAAAAATAACACAAATGCTGAATAAATAATTACTTTTATTAAGACATTATTATTGGACATGTCACAATTGAAAATATTCAAAATGTGAAAAGTACAAAGGAAAATAGATAAAATGTTGACAAGATTTATGTTCTTATGTGATTTTATTCTTATTTTTTGAAAATTTCCAAATCTGCTGGTGTTCCTCAAGGTAGTATCCTATGTCATATCCTTTACTCAGTTTTTACAGCTGACATTCCAACCTCTGATAACACTGTCATCACCACGTTAGCCGATGACACATGTATCCTATCAGTTAACAACGATTCATCAACTGCATCTTAAACTCTTCAATCACACATCACAAATCTTGAAGAATGGTCTGAAAACTGGAGAATTAAAATTAATTCTAACAAATCCCATCAAATTATCTTTACTCTTCGTCGTAAACCAATGTCTTCCTATCCTACAATATCCTTTAATAATACCCCACTTATCCCTGTTAAACAAATCTGATAACTTGGACAAAGGTCTAACTTGGAATTCTCATACCAGATTGAATAAAGAAATTACTCGACGATTTCGACTATTCCAGCACTCAAAAGACAAACGCTCTAAGCTTTAAGAAGCTGGGTAGTTTCTCAAAAAGTGTTTTCATAATATTATTTTCTTCTATCACATTTACTAATATTTTCTCAATACAGTTGTAAATATCATAAATATAAAAAAAAAAATGTAAACTTAAATAATTTTTCCAGGCAGCAAGGAAATAGGCAATTCCTATATTAAAAAAAGTAAATAAAAACAATATCTAAAAGATAAAATAATATGCCATTACATCGCATGATTTTTTTATTGTTTATGGAAAATATTACAATCTGTCTCAAAGAACATTTATAATAGTGTTCAGAGACCACATTCACACTCTATAATAATACAATTATAATAATAATAGTATATATACAATAAATAAGTATAAAATAATCTAAAAAATAAATAAATAAAAAGAAACAAACATACCTTAATTGTACGAATAAAAAAATAAAAATTGATGTTGACAACCAAATTTAATATTTAGATAAAAATACATGAATGTTTTTTTTCCTATTTAAGCATTTTAAGATAAAAATTAGTAAACGTAATAAGTTGTATATAAATTTTTCACTGGCACTAAACTTAAATAATCTCCTGAAAAATTAAACTACTTGGTTAATAGTTAACTTACTAATTAATTTTATTTCCCATAAAGTTCAAAATGTATGATTTGCGAATAAAACTATTTTGCATATGTGAGCACAATACGTAGGATTGAACTGCAGAAGAGATCTGACTTCACTCACTGCTTTCCATGAAACTGAAATTATCGAATAACTTCCTTCTAAACTAAAAATTCCTGAAAAATAAAAAATGTCAAAATTGCCTTATCGTGATTTAACTTTTTACTTAGGGATGAACAGAGACCAGTTCATGGAAGTGCCTAAGTGATAATATATTCTATTCACTCTGTTAAAATAAAAAAAAAATATGAATATGAAAGAAAGGAAAAATACAATAGCAGAAATCGAAATCTTTAAGCAACTAAGTACAGAAAATAGATCGTTTACCGAGGAACGATTCTACTGTGCCACTCGTCTGTCATATCATATAAGAAGCGTTGCGTAGAGTCGCAATGTCATTATACTCTAATGCATCATTTTACGTATGTTACAAAAACTCAGGCTGTGCCACAACGTGTGACACGCGTCCCAATATGTTCCTTGCCTAATTACAGATTTATAATCCTTGATAAATTAAAATTTTAAAAAGTATCTTTTATATTTAATTAATGCAAATTAGAGTTTCTATGGAATAATTCCAGATTTATAATATCATATTAAATTCTAAGAATTGATAGATACGATAAAACCTAGGTGTTTTTTTTTATAACTGATATTAAATTAGGTAACTAACATAAATAAAAACATATGACTGTAAACCAACGAATATTTCAAGGTTTTTTATAAACTATCCATTGAAACTCTCGACAAAATATCGGAAACGGCGACTCATAAAAAATGGTAAATAAATGCAGTTGCCTATATAATTTAGAAAAGGAAAAGCAATAAAAAAAAAAAAAGGCAAAGAATTAATATTTTTAATTTACTATATACTATATAAGCAATAATCTTTGAATTAACAACTTATAATAAAAAATAAATCTCATTGGCCTAATTAATTTATTTTTTGGGAAAGTAGGTATTCGGAACCCCAGAGGAAACAAAGCCATTTTTTTTATATATATATAAAAGTATTATTTATATCACTATTTCTCCATTCTTTTTTTTTTGGTATAAATTAGGTCGTAATTAAAAAAAAAAATACATAAATGTTTATCTCTATCAAAAATGTACAAAGTGTATAACAATATATTTCAGAATGTGATCCTTAACTTCTTTATGACGCAATATAGGTATAGAATATAAATATTAGAAATAATATAAAAAAGAAATATTTCTTCATTTGTTAGAAGAGAATTTTTGTAAAATTTATGACAGTGTGGCGATGAGCTAGATTTTTTTTAAATGCTCAAAAATAAAATTGTTTAAAAACTACCAGATAACATTGTGTTCCTGCCGAAATTGACAGTAAGTTTATAGTTAAGATTTATGTTTTTAAATAATGAGACCATTAAAGAATCATTAACCATCATTATAAACCTGTAAAGGGAGAATTAGTAAATAATTAATAGTGATTATCTTTTAACTACTAACTCGATCAGATCTGAGCGGCCAAACATAAAACGAAGTAATTATGCAAATTTAAATACGGAAAAATACATTTTTAATAATACGGCGTCCTTATCTTTGGAGAGGGGAACAAAAAAAAAAAATCATTATTCATCCCTGCCAAATAGGGCATTGCCAAGGAGATAGATAAATATTTATAGACAATGATGACATCTTGCCAAAGAGACCCTCCTCCGTTTGTCTCAGAATTACTGTTTGAAATGTTGATGCTGTGTAAACCGAAGATAAAGAGGCCGTGGTAGGCTGTAACTCAGAATTTCAAAGAGTGCCGAAAAACAGATAGCATGAAAAAAAACAAAAAAAAAAAGATAACCTCTATACCTATTTATCAAACGATAGTAAAGGGATATTCTTATTTTCAAAATATGTGAATATGAAAAAAAAATTTAAAAAAAAAATATTCATATTTTTTTTTTTTTATTCATTGATATTTACAACTGTATTATAAAAAAAACACAACTAGTAAATGTGCACACAGTAATAATACAATCACATG